AGCAATAACCTAGTAGGAAATGGTACTTCTGGAATCTACTTTAATCTAATGCATTGGATGGTGTCTACTTGAATTGTACACATAACCCTACCACTCAAGCTCAAAAAAATCCATGTCTCCTTGAAAACTTTTCTTGCTCTGGAATGTAGTTCCAAGGAAAGGTTTTCTGTTTAGAAGCCACACCTATCTTTTAGCTACAACTCACACACAGATGACAACTCTATTTAAGCTTTGTCTAGGGCAAGGGAAAGCAATTGTGAAATATTGGTATTGCTGGAAAGACAGAAATGGACAGAAATATAAGCAAATCTCCTGACTTTATAAATGAGCTTTTCCTTATGTTATCAGAATGCTCTTGATTATTTCAAAAAGTATTTGCACAATCCTCTTCCCAAAATTTATTTCAACTTGATTGGCTTAAATTTAATTATGTTTATGATTTTTGTCAAACTAATTTGATTATTTCTAAGGTCATGTCAACCTTATTAGAAGAAAGAAAATCTAAGAAAACCACAATTTTGATACTGTACACACTATTGGCCTTTTCTACAAATTCATAGATATTTCTCATAGAAACATCCTTTTCCAAGCAAGTGGAGGGGAATAACATGGTGAAATCACGAACATGACTCTATCTGCCTTGCATTTGGGAGGAATGAAAAAATAACCTTGTTTCAGTGAAGCATGGAATTTAATTGGCTCCTGATCTTTTCCCTTCATGCATCTGGTGGCCAGTACTACAGTAGAAAATTTTAAACTAGAAGGAGACATAATCCAATTAAATTTCCTTTTAAAAATATCAAATCAAATAAATCTAGGGCCCATTAGCTCACACACAGCTTTGCTGTTCTCACTGGGCAGCTGCTGTTTACTGGGTTTTCATCCAGTGCCATCTTTGCTTCTCAATTTCAAGGGTGTGTGATTTTACAGATCGGCAGCTACGTTTTTTTCACCATTGATGAACAAGTGATTTATTGCCAACTTGTTTGACATCTTAAGTGGCTCTAGTGACAGCCAGCTTGGAAAATGTCATAGGGCCCTCTTGGAGACAATGATTCCCAGACACTTTAGAATCATGATTTTGTATCCTTGAATTTCACTCTGCATTTTATAGTTCTTCCTTCTTCCAGAAAACTTTATGTGGCATGTATTGTTTATGCTCTAGACTATCTCAATTTTTGTTCTGAGATTTGGGCACTGTCTCTTGAGTTATCTGGAAGTCACATTAGAGACTCCAGATCCATCCACAGTTTGCCAGGAAGTTGCTTTGTTCTAAGCTGTGCTGTGGCTTTCTTAGACATGTTCTTAATTTTGATAAATGCAAAATTGTATAGTGTCTATGTCTAACTTCCTCTAGAAGCAGACTTGGAGACAAGGGTTTAAGTGTGAATAGTTTTTTGGAGGGTAGGGAAAGGAACTAGGGGAGCAAGAAAGGGAAGGGAAGGAGCTACTAAAGGGCATATTATCAAACCAGTTTCAAAAGTGGATGATTGGAGCTTAGCAGCTGGAAAATGCTAGGATCCAGAGTGAGGATAGCAACTTAGAATTATCCCACCCGAAGTGCAAGGGAACTGCAGTATTCATTCATCAATTTCTATCAGTCATTGTTTGATCCTGCTCTTGGAGTAGAGGAAAGGAAATAATTTCTTGGCACTTGTGGTTTGGCACAGGGGCAGCCAAAGCAGGCCTGAGAGGCCAAAGAGAAGTCCAAGGGCAAAGGAACGGAGGTGCTGGCAGTTGGAAGGCAGGCTGGTGTGCGCCAAAGTGGAAAGGGTGAGGGGATAGGAAGGGGTGCTGGTAGAGCCTGCTACACATAAATAGTTCCAAATGTTCATCGCTAGGGGGGCCTGTTTTACAGCAATATAGGCAGGCTCATCCTCTTTTGGAACGGGAGGGAATTGACTTCTGTGGATGAGCTGTCCTGTTATAAAAGTACCATACATTTACTCCCATTTCAAACTCACATGCACTGCTGGGAAAACCATATGATCTGGAGTTTTCTTTTTATTTTATAGTGTAGCATGAATAAAAGGTCAGCTTCTGTCTTCAACAGAATATTTTAACTCACTGCCCAGATTTTCATAAAGGTTCTATAATGTTCAGAACACTTGCAGATTTATTAGAAAATACAATTAGGCCGTGGTGTTGTAGGGATTTCTTATGTCACCAAAACCTTTTCATTTTATGAAGGGGCTGACCATGTGATTCCCTTAGGTAGATCCAATTATAGGCAAAATGAAGAAGGTGCCTTCCCTCTGCTTTATTGATGCCCCCTCACCCCATCCCATGAGCCTCCCCTGATTCTTACTCTCCCTTGGATTCCAAATTTGATTCATTTGTCCATTTTAAAGCAGTATGTGCGAAAATCTCCCTAAAATTAGTGGTTGGCAATAGATGATAGATCCTGGGTTCCTTGAACACTACAAATATGCCTGTGGCATTTATGAAGCATTTTGACAGGAAAAGTCACTACCACCTGGAACCTAGGAAACAGTGACAAAAGGAAAAATAATCAAGGGAAGTGGTATTGATTCTAGAGAAAGAGCACAGTGGGGTTGGAGTCATCAGGTAAGCTTTGTGGGAGCCATGGGGTTTAAAGTGGTCAGAATTTAAAGAAATGGACTACTGTTATCTTTCATCTTAAATTATCCTTAATTTCAAATCTCATGAAATGAAACTTGAGTTTTATTTTGCCCAAGTCTGGCTTATTGCTGATAAATTTGATTCTCATTTCTAAATTCTTGAGTTGTCATGATTCCAGTATAAGTTCTGAATCGTTAGCATTTAAATCACCATTCCTTGCTCAAAAAAATAAAAAAACCAACAAACAAAAACAAAACCACCTTCCCTGTTTAATAAGCTATGAGACAGGATATTCTAGTACTGATCTGTTTCATGAGATAAAGCATTCTCTGAATAAATCCATCATAGTTATATCAATTACATAATATATTTTATTATTTCTGTACTGAAAACTTTTCTTTCAAAAAACTATCAGGAAATAGTGATTTTGAGTGCATATATTTGTACTATTCCTCTATAACAAGATTGAATTTATAAATACCACTTAAGAGCAAAAATTGCTGTAAGTTTTGTAATGAAATTTTTGAGAATGTGTTGAATAATGGAGTTGAATGATTATTGATCTCAGCCTCCATTGATTATAACATATTGTTTAATATGTATATAATGGTTTACAACTTTTTGGTGTCAGGAAGGATATTTTACTAAGATCTATGTGGTATGAGCTGCTTAGAACACCCCTTAGGAATTGGTTTAGCCATCATCTGTCTGAATGGTCATTTCCTTCTTCATACTGCTGGTTGGTTGTTTGGGCTCAACTTCTCACAGGTGGCATTCTTGAGAAAGAAGCATAGTGTCACTTCAAGAACTGCATTATCTTCTATTTAACTTTTCATGTTGAAAATGATGGGAGCAAATGTAGGATGAGGGCCAGCTGCCTCAGGATAGGCCCACTTCACTGTTTGGCCCAGCAGATAGGCATAGCTCTGGTGCCCCACTGCCAGGGTGACAATTGAGGCTCCATCACTGACTGGTAGTCTGATTTAGACAATCTACTTAACCCTTCTATGCCTCAGTTTTCTTTTCTGTATATAGATTATCATAATAACATCTACCTCTTAAGGGTTTTCTGTGATGACTAAAATAACTTAGTACAGATAAAACACTTAAAAGAGTGCCTGTCATATAGTAAATATCCAATACATTTGTTACTACTACTACTACTACTACTACTACTACTAGGTAATTATAGGATTCCTATAACCCCACAAAAATCTGCAACCGACTCGTCGTCATCATAAATCATCACTTAAATGCCTTCATTAGAGGTGCTGGTACTGGATTCTCTTCTGATTCTATGATAATTATCAATTGGATTCAAATGCAACACTAGTAAAGATATAGAACCTCTGACATAAAACAGTTAACCTTGACAATAGAATTATAAGCAACCACAGTTATGGAATTTCCCCCCTTGTTGATAATAATATAAATTGACCATTGTAGCATATATAAAAAATTGGTGTGTGCATATATACCTACATATATATGTCTTATACATATTAAATGTATAAAGTGTATAAATACATATATATGTATACACACACACACACACACGCACATATATAAAGTGACTTATTCTGAAGAGCATACTGTGAGTGATCCAGTGCTCTTTTCATTGTTTATCCAAAAATAGTAACCAAGCCATCAGTATAGCTACCAGTTTGGATTTTAAAAATTGAGTTCTTAATGAGTATACAAAGAGCTATCACTACAATAATGCTGTGTAACAAACAACTCTTAAAATTTCAGTGGTTCACAACAAAACACATTTATTTTTCTTGTCTATGAACCTGTAGGTAGTTGAGCTTGGCTAGATTCAGCTGGGCTTGGCTCCATGCTGCAAGTTGGGCCTGGTTTGTTCTACCTTGGTCATTTTAGGACCAGTAGCATCATGGGCCATGTTCTTCTCATGGTGATGACAGAGGCCAGAAGACAGAGGCACAGAAGGCCAAGCCAAATGACACCAGCATATTAGAGTCTTCTGTTCATAATACATCTGCTAACAGTACATAGGCCAAAGCCAGTCATGTGGTGAAGCTCATATCAAAGGAACAGGAAAACATACTCCTACTTCGTGAGAGGTTCTACAAAGTCCTATGAAAAACAGTGTGGGCATGTAATTTTTTTTTTTATTTTGGCATATTATGGGGGTACAGATTTTAAGGTTTCAATAAATGCCCATTTCCCCCCCTCCCCCCATAATTTTAATACAGGAAGGGAGAGAAGAATCAAGAACAGAAATCCAATCTTTCACAAAGTCCTTATGATCCTGAAGTAGATGGTAAAATTTCCACTTTAAAAATAAACTGTTTACCAAAAGCTTATATAAAGAGGAGGAATAATTTGATGTTGAATTTTCAAAACTTCAATTTGAAATGTGGTTCTAATTATTTCTTTTTCTTTTTTTTTTCTAGAGATGTGAAGAGGTTTGGCTTGGAATGCCATCACCTGTTCCTGTGAAATACATTGACTACATAACTCTTTTGAAAGATGTGCTTGGCTTGGAGGAAGACTAACCATGCTGGTTTTGGTCAATTCCCTTTGATTTACTGCTATAATTTTGCCAAGTTTATTTTAGGAGATATAATTTCATTATAAACAAAAAAGAAACAAGGTTCATATTGACTGGAAATCCATAAACCACAATTAATCTTCTTTTGTCACATTAGTTTTTCAGAACATCATATTATATTGCTGATATACCAGCACTATTAAAAATGCCATTAAAAATGTCGAATATTTTTATAATATGTATGATTTATTAATATCAAAGAGTCTTATGATAATTTTCCATCTAACATAATTTGATTCATTATAATATGAACAGAAAATGACTTTTGATGGCTATGCATGACAGTATAAAATCAAATTATATCAGAGCAATAAGTTGTGATTCTATTAAACATTTTTTGAAATCTTTTTGACACATGTTTATTACTTATATAATTAAGTTTTGTAGCAAACCACCTCATCAAAATAATTCTTAACCCTCTCTACAGTGAACGTGTTTATTTTCTGAAGTTAGTAAAACTATGGAAAGAAAAGGAACCTCCTCCTCAACACACACACACACATAAAAATTTAGGAGAGAAATTGAAACATATGCAGTGTTTATATTTTAATGCCCTTTTTCTATCTAAAGTCAGCTTGTTAGCTGAGGAATATATTCATGTGTGTAAATTTATAGTATGACCAAAAATGTATTATGTCTAAAATATTTAGGGATGTGAATGCTGAAAATTTTGAGAGTTTTTTTGGAGTTCATTTACACATACACACACACAAACACCATGCATCCCACCCCAGAGCTTTAAATATTCTGAAACTACATTCCCCTGCATTTCTCTAGTTCTATTTTTATTTTTCTTCAGTAGAACTCTTGTAATATAGTATCTAGTTGATTAAAACCCATAGCCATGGACCTCTGGGAATTCACTGTAAGAAGTCCAACCAATCTACCCCATTCTTCAGTGTTAGGTGTTCTCAGAGACAATGGAAGCCTATCAAGATGGGACACACCATTTACCTTTCAGAGACTATTCTGAGGAGAGGAAGAGGAGCTGATGATGTCTCAAGGGCCCCTTCGGTCTGTCTCATTATTCTTGCACTCCACATTTCCAGCAGCGTCTTGCCTAGAAATGAGCTGGCTTCTTGGCACTCAGATGTACCAATTTACTCGACAACAGTGGCTCTTTCATGTTTTAAAAACTGAAGTTAATCAATAAAGTATTTCTATGTATAAAGCTAGGATAATTCCACGTGTGCTATTGTTAGACTAGACCCCCTAGGACTTTACAGTAAACTAGTGTAATTTATATATATATACAAGAACCATCTACCCATAAAACCTAATTTTGACTACTTGATTTTTGTCTCAGGTTTTTTTTTTTTTTTTAAGACAACTGACAGTGCCAAGCCATTTTGTCACTTTAAGATTTTTTCGTTCCCCAGAGAGCAAGCTTTTAGAAGGATGACACTTTCCTGGAACTTTTCAAGCTGACATATTCGTCATTTACCTATTCAACTCTTCAGTCAGTTGTCTTTCTTTCAAGAGTTTAAATATGTAGATAATTTATCCCTTGTACAGGTTCATAATGTAGTTCATTTGAGAAATGGGAGGAGAAAAAGAAAGGAAACAAATCAATGATAATTCTCCCGAGGTTGTGGGGTGACAATGGTTCATTCTATTGCAGAGATGTGTGTTACTGCCCTGGTTGTTTCTGGTTCAAGCTCACAATTAGCAACGAAATGGCCATTATAGGAATCATGCCGATAAACATGATACATTGCAGCCATACAGACACTTTAAATAATTTTTCTTTTATAACTAAGCCATATACTGAAGATTTATAATTTAGAGATAATATCCCCATTAGTAAAGTTTATGACCCAATAAACAGCTCCCACTAGTTAATAAATGCCAAAGCCATAAAAACAAAGACTATTAATGTAATAGAATTTCTGTACCTCCCTCTTTTGCTGGTGGTCTCAAGACACTGAAGGGAAATGCTATCTTAGGAAAAACATTTATTCTCGTTATGTAAATATCAATGAATTGTCTTACAATCCATCTGGAAATCTCCCAGCCCCCCTTGGTCCCAGGTGGTCCTGAAATGCTGATGTGTTCTGTTTAGGTTTCAAGCACTAGATAACTCTGAGTTTCAGCACAAATAAACCCTGTGACTAAAATCTTTGGGGGAGGTGGAGAGGTGGGCTGGAATTTCTGTCTCTTCTATTCCATCTGAAAAAGAAAAATCCTAACTAGTGTCATTGTTCCAGGGTAATAGTTTTGAAAAAAGCTTCACAGCCTTTGCATGTACTTGTATTTTTAGCTGCTAACATTTTCTCATTTTGATGGAAAAGCAAGTGCTGCCTTTGGATGTCTGGGTGAGTTGAAGGTTAATATAGGCAAACCTTTTGTCCTAAGAACTAATTATTTTTTAGTATTCTTGGAACTGTGGGAATGATTGATAAAGTCATTTGAAAGCCCAAATCAAATCATGTCTTTTCATACAAAACTGATTAAAAGCTGTTGAAGTTCCCATTAAATAGTTTGTTGAGGCACTGTTGTGAAGTATGATGTTTCAGCAGACAACTAATTGGGAGTGCTAATTTGCCTTTTAATTCCCTTTCTTACCTAACTCTTTAAAAAGTAATGTGGATAAGTCTATTGTTTCATTTAATTTTATTTTTTTAATTTTTTATTTTTAATTATTATGGTGGGTACATAATAGTTGCATATCTTTATGTATTGATTAACTTTAGCTAAGCTTACTAAAATGGTTAAAATTTCAGACAATAGAGGGGAGGTGCAGAGCACTGTACCTTTCCAGCATTATAATAGTTTAAACATTTGCCTACTTTTTTATTACCTTTGATTTAATTGGTTGAACACACCATTCTTGGTAACTTTGATTTAATTGGTCGAACACACCATTTGTTGTTGTTGTTTTAATGCTAGACAATTTGAAGTTTGGTTATTTGGGGTTGTAGAGCTTCCAGGCTTTCTGAACACCTCAGTCATGAGTTCAGGATATTTAAATTTCTCTTCATTCTTCAAATACCAGGGAGTTATTGATGAATAAAATGAAATCTCCCCAAATTATAAAAACCAAAGCACAACACTCCTGGCTTTCCAACTTGGATTTATCTTAATTCGAGTAGGGGGTTGCTTCCTGGCCTTTTCCATTTCTCCTTTTGCCTTCGCCTTCCTTCACACATTATTACTTTGCTCTAAATTCAGTAGTTGGAATGTTAATGAAATAGTAGGGCTTTCCACAAAATATTTATGATATTGAATAATGCAGAATCCATTGAATAATGAATTGTTATACTCCCAACTACATGTATGGTCTCCTAAGTTATGAGTATAGATCCCTGAATTTTGAATACCCTTCAAAATTGGTCTGTAAATGACCTTTCAGACAAACAGCTTCCCAATGATGGTATACTTGAGTAATGTAATAATGCATCTCTGCCCTAATGTTTTTTGGGCAAAGACTGAATTGCTTCAAGTTGAAGACAGGTTAAGACCTTTTCAAAAACGAGTCTTTTCAAGTTGACTGAGCATCTTCAGAAACATAATGCTTTTCAATTCCCAAGAGAATGTAATGTCTAAAAATAGAAAGCCCACTGAGGCAAGATCAATGAGGCTATTTAGCAAATAATAAACCTGGAATGATAATGGAGCAAACATCCATTATTACAAAGGATAGCGCTGACTGTGCAATTAGTTTAAGAGAATTTTGTAACTCACTTCCACCTGCCTTCTTCTATCAGGTTATATATTGGTTTAAAGATACATTGTCTTTCAAGGTCAATTGAGCTTCTTAAAACTAAGAATTATGAGACACTTTGTCAACAGAGTGGCCAGAATGGGCATCTTCTTTGCATTTGTTCCTGGTACCCAGTAAAATTCCTTCCAAGGGGACTTTTGAGCTCATTATGTATCTGGTGTGTGGCACACACAAGAACCCAGGGGTCAGCAAGGCTGCTCAGAAGCAACTGGTAAAAAGGCTGAAAAAGTGGCCGATGAAAAACTCCACAGTGGCTTCGCAAGCAGAGAATTAATGACTCGCTGGAATCAGTAGGAGCCTTTACTTCTAAATACTCATTAGTTAAACCTGTGAGGCCTGATGTTACGCAAGTTAGAGAGGGGAAGGGGGACCGCCCCTCCCCATTGTCTATTTTGAACAGAATATGTACATTTAACTCGAAGTGGTGAATGGTTCAAATACATCAAACCACTATTCATCAATCTCTCAGCTTCCTGAGCACCACCTTCCCTCTGTGGAAAGCCAAAAATAGAGGAGATCCTTATTAAGACCTCACTATAATATTAAAATCCAGAGGGGCTGATAGCTTGGTGAAAACACAAAAATGCATTCTCCTTTAGAAATAGTTTCACCAAAGTCATCTTTGTGTTTCGTTCTTCCTACTTTGCCTGTACAACTAGAACAACTGACTCAAATAAGAACTTGATAAAATTACTTTTGCCTGCTTTTCTCTCCCATGCCAATACTGCTCTTCATTATGGCTGTGAGGCTGCCAATTGAATAAAGACTAGGAGCTGAAAAGCCATTTCAGACTGCTGCAAATACCCCCAGCTCTAATTATGACTGGAGCGGGGAGAGTAAGAGGGCCAGTGGCAGGAGCTGATCATTGCAGAGGGGAATCTGGGTGATAATGGGGACCACCTTGTTCGTAGAACTCAATTTAAAGAGTTTGAACTTCATCCCAAGGGAATGAGAAGTTACTAAAAGATTTTAATCTGGGGAATGAAAAGATCATGTCTGTATTTAAAAATCTCTGGCTGCTTTATGCGTGTGAACTATAAGAGTGAGTTTGGCGGCAAGAAGGCTGATCAGGAGACTGTTGCCAAAGAAGTGATGGGAGATTTGGATTAATGTAACGTTAGTGAAAAGTGGAGAGATAGATTCAGGACATGTTCAGGATGTTGGAGATGAGGGAGAAGAAGAAATCAAAATTACGACTGGGTCACTTTGACAGCTGAGTAGATGGTGTTGCCATTCACTGTGCTGGGAAACACCAGAGAAAAATCAAGTGAAGGGAGAAATATCAAGAATTCTGTGTTGGGCATGCTAAATTAGGGTGCCTGTGGAATAGAGAAGTGCAGATGTTGATAA